GACACGAAAAGTACGCGAAAAGTACGCGATGTCGTCGACGACATACTCGACCCCAAAGAGTTAAAAGCATATAACTAAGATCGGTGGATCTCATGGGAATATGGTCGATTTCCGATCCCCTCAAATTAACGTGATCGAGGCCGATCGATCGGTGCGCCGATCGATCGGTGCACCCCTACAGGCTAGATCAGACTTTGATTATATCAGAGGCAGTCACACCTGTTATAATAACATTCTCTATTATTGTAATGATCCTGTATTGACGGAAAAGGGAACTAACGACCTCCCTGACAAAAAACCTGACAAAAGTACAGAGGTTGACGTCCGCCCCTAAACTGGTGTCTCTAGACAGGGAACGAACCTACGTGAGGACATGCAGATGCACGTACGATCTAATCTAGCCCTGCAACCTTAAGAAGGAAATGAAAAGGAGTTAACCCCGTGACAATCGTATAAAAGAAATACGAATTCTCTTGACAAGTATAACCAACAAAAGTACTCTAAAAACAGGTCCCTCCTAAAACAGCACTATAGAAACAAGAAACAGAGAACAGAGAGCAGCCCATCAGACAACCAGCACGAGGACGCGAGGCAAGAAAATGCCGACGCCATTGTTCTTCTCAGCATTCTCCCTTATAAAAAGGAAAACCCCGCCCACATATGACCTCATTAGGGTGGACAGGAATCAGGGCCGGTACTGCAGAGAGAGGGGAGAAGAAACAAAACACACCACCAAACACAGAGATACCCTTTGCATGTAACACTTATGTATTATATACAGTGGTACCTCAGAACTCGAACTTAATACGTTCAGAACTTGGGTTCAAATACTAAAAAGTTCGAGTACTGATCGAATTTTCCCCATAAGAAATAATGGAAAGCCAATTAAGTGGTTCCCAGCCCCAAAAAGACCACATAGACTACAGTGTTAGTGAACCACAGGCACCACTGTATCTTTTATTATATGTGTCATGACACGAAAAACAAAGGACTCGAAGGCAGGCATCAGGAGAAAAAATAGGGGCTTTATTGAACCCAAAACAGGAGATGGGAACCAAACAGGATTGTGAGGGGTCAAACTGGTAGTGTTGTAGTCAAGACCACCTAAACCGAGACCAAGACATTGCCGAGACCGGAGGGTATCAAGACCAAAGACACTGCCGAGACTTGAGGGTACCAAGACCAAGTCCAAGACCAAGACCAAGACACACTAAGGTGAGACCAAGACCAAGACTGGTCAAGACCAAGACCAAGACGGAAAACAGACTAGGGCTAGAATCAACATCACATTACTCAGATCAACTGTAGAGAAAAAAGGCATTGCTGAAAAATGTCATTACTCGTTAAATCAAATTCATGTTATCTTTTCAATTATATTGTCCATATGTCTCTCATTTAAAATCTCCAAGATTTGTCATAGTTACGAGGCCTGATGGAAAATAATATTCTCAGTAATCCTCTCCTATAACCATTTTATCAGACCTCGTCAAGGGAAAGAGATGGGATGTACCAGAAAGATGTTCATATTAAGTCTCTTATACCAGGGAGAGAGGCCTCGGGTAAGCTATGAATACGGCTATGTAATGATCCTCTGCTTTGAATTGAAGAGAATGAGCCTTCAGATTGACTATTTTATGTTTGCCCTTTAACATATTTGCAATATTATACAGTTTTGCACATTGTTACATTATTCTGTGGTTTTGTTCATTTGAGCTATGTTTCTTTGAATACTTGAAAATCAATAACCTTTTATAATTTTAAGGGAATTTTGTATGTAAACAGTAAAATTTGTAGGAAAATAAGTATTTGTTTAATAATATTGTTTATTTCAATGTATTCATTCTGTTTGTCAGAATAAGTTTATTTTATTTGATTATTACATGGGACAGCATTGTGAAACTATAATATTGATAATTATCGATATCAGTCAATACAGGAAAAAATATCGTGATAATTTTATTTGCCATATCGCCCAGCTCAATATGCTATAGACTTCGCGGACATTTTGGAACATTTCTTTGCCGACTTCGCTATGATGCGATGTGTATGATGTGTGTGGACTGTGAAGCACTGGCAGTGTCCATTGAGAAAATGTATACAATGTAACGTTTTTAAAGTAGATCCATCTGACTGGATGCATTTGAATTGAGGCACGTAATAAATAATGATACTGTTCTGTGAGGATGTACTGTTTTCTCTTTTTTTCCCCATCCCATCGAGACCTCTATGTCCGAGACCAAGACAAGACCGAGACCAAATAGAGTTGAGACCAAGACAAGACCTAGACCAAATAGAGTCGATACCAAGACAAGACCGAGACCACAAAAAATTGGTCTCAAGACCGGTCTCGAGACCAAGACCGGTCTCGAGAACTACAGGACTACAAACTGGGGAGACTACAATTGGGATGGGCACAGGGAACAGGGGAACTGAAATTAGTGACCGAATGGAGGAATGCAGGACTGGGAAGCATTTATACAGTATACATGACTAACGAGGGGCTGACAAGATGCGGGTGTGGAGAGTTAGCACAATAGCATTGAGGATAATGAGCAAGACGCGCCTGGGGAGAATTAGGAGGGATCTGACAATATGTCTCTGATTGCAAGATTATCATGTGATTATCTGCAGCTGACATTTAGGATCCTCCAGTAAAGCAAAGTGCTGTATCACTCCTGAGTCTCCTGTGTTATTGTCACTCAGATCCAGCTCTCTCAGGTGTGAGGGGTTTGACCTCAGAGCTGAAGCCAGAGAAGCACAGCCTGTATCTGTGACTCTACAGCCTGACAGCCTGTAAAGAGAATGAGAAAAATTCTTCAATTTCTCAGCTCTGTACCCACAAATCAATGAATTAAGGAACTGGGATTTACACACATATAGGGTGACCAGATAATCCATCTCAGGGAGCTAGGGAGGACACTTTCAGGTAGGACAGGATTTGCAAACTACCATATCAATTAAAAGGACCTGGGTGCTCATTTATATATAAAAAAAATTTGTAAAAAAATCCTTATGGGGACCGACACAACCCTCATAGTCATCCCTGTCAGTGCCTGTGGTCTCACTGAAGACACCCATGACCAGAGGACCGTCGCCTCGTGGGCACCCATCAACTATAAGTTGCGTGTAAAAGGTCTCCCTCAATGAGACATCATTCACCGCAGACAAGACACCCAAGGAGTGCCTTATGGTGCGTTCCATTTGCCTTCAGATCCACGTTTTGGTTGCTGAGATTACATCACATCTGCTAAAAACTTGGGGAAAACCGAGTTGGATATGTTCCATTTGCCACAGAAGTAGCAACACCATGGACCCGTATCAAAAAGCAAGACTTTTTGCTTAGATGGACAACTTTTCAGAATTCGCCCTCTAGTGGTTCGGACGCATACGTCCGAGTTTTCAATAACTCTGTGCTGCTCCCGAGATATTTCTCAGATGTCCGAGAAACGGGAGCGCGCATGCCGTCACTTCCGGCTTCAAAACTCGGAATCCGACTCAGAAACCGAGTTCTGAGGGAAAATGGAACGCACTATTAGCCTGAGCCTCATAATACCATTGAAAGGAGTGACAATAGACACCTTTGGAAGTAGCCGATCCGCCACAACAACAGCTACTCTGAGTATGGCAGCCACCAGAGCAACCAGACCAAAAGTAGGTGTATTCACTTACATAGATCCAGCTACTCCCCATTCTGGGTACCTCAGAGAGTGCCGCCACCGAGATGTGGCGTTTACGAAGCTCCTCTGACAGCAAAGGAAGATGTTCATCTTGCTGGAGAGACCAGACGTTCCACATGCCTACGTGGATGGGCCACCTCAAACTGGGACCCAAGTGCTGCCAAGCAGCGTGTGACGCCTCAGCACCCCACCAGCCCCGATCCCCAACAGGCCTGACCATGTTTGTTCTCCGATGGTTTCAACTCTTCTGGGGATGAGGCTCCCAAAGGCTTTCCCCCATCCCCATCATGATGCCTTCCTGCGGGCAGCTGTTTGGATCTTGCTGTCATGAAATGTTTCACGGTAGATGGAGTGCCAGTTTCGCCAACAAACCCCAAAATTTTTCTCTGCAAATTGGACGATCGCTTGCAGGGGCGGATGCAGTTTAACGTTATACCCAAGACAACAACATACCCATGTCCTCCTTGACATGCATTATTTGGTCACCCTACACACACCCTACACATAATACACTGCTTAAAAAATTAAAGGAACACTTATTAATCAGAGTATAGCATCAAGTCAATTAAACTTCTGGGATATTGATCTAGTCACTTAAGTAGCAGAGGGGGTTGTTAATAGGTTTCAGCTGCTTTAACACATTAACACAGGTGCACTAGAGGGGCAACAATGAGACGACCCTCAAAACAGGAATGGTTTAACAGGTGGAGGCCACTAACATTTTCCCTCCTCGTCTTTTCTGACTGTTTTTTCACTAGTTTTGAATTTGGCTACAGTCAGTGTCACTACTGGTACAGTTATGTGAAAAAATTAGGACATAAATATTTAGTACTTGATTAAGAAATATCAACATATCAATATTGAATCTTGTTTCAAATTATATTTGAAACCAAACTAAATAATAACTAAATAATAATAACTCTAGGCCTGCATTTTAAATAATAATGGATGTGAGAGTGTCCTAACTTTTTCCTAAGTGGAAATTGGCATCATAGTTAATTTCTTCTGTTAAATAAGTGAATTTGTTTCTTTTTTTTGCATAGGTGATACAGTTACATCACCTTTATCTACTATCTACACATATGTTTTGAAAGAAGATTTAATAGTGATATGTCGATATTTCTTAATAAAGAACTAAACATTTAATGGGGTGTCCTAATTTTTTCACATGACTGAAGCAAGAGGCGATACCTGGACCCTACAGAGGTCACACAGGAAGTCCAGCTCCTCCAGGATGGCGCATCAATACATTCCATTGCCAGAAGGTTTGCTGTGTCTCCCAGCACAGTCTCAAGGGCATGGAGGAGATTCCATAAGACAGGCAGTTACTCTAGGAGAGCTGGACAGGGCCATAGAAGGTCCTTAACCCATCAGCAGGACTGGAATCTGCTCCTTTGTGCAAGGAGGAATAGGAGGAGCACTGCCAGAGCCCTACAAAATGACCTCCAGAAGGACACTGGTGTGAATATCTCTGACTAAACAATCATAAACAGACTTCATGAGGGTGGCCTGAGGGCCCGACATCCTCTCACTGCCGAGCACCGTGGAGCTCGATTAGCATTTGCCATAGAATTCCAGATTTGGCAGGTCTGCCACTGGCATCCTCTGCTTTTCAAAGATGACAGCAGGTTCACCCTGAGCACATGTGACAGACGTGAAAGGGTCTGGAGAAGCCAGGGAAAACATTATTTTGCCTGTAACATTGTTCAGCATAACCGGTTTGGTGGTGGGTCAGTGATGGTCTGGGGAGGCATATCCATGGAGGGACACACAGACCCCTACAGGCTAGATAACGGCACCTTGATTGCCATTAGGTATCAGGATGAAATCCTTGGACCCACTGTCAGACCCTACGCTGGTGCAGTGGGTCCTGGGTGCCTCCTGGTGCACGACAATGTGGTGAGAGTATGCAGGCAGTTCCTGGAGGATGAAGGAATTGATAACATTGACATTATGTTTTGGTCCATCTGACGCCACCAAGTTGTACTTCAGAGGGGCTCAGTGATGCCCTGGTCCAGATCTGGGAGGAGACTCCCCAGGACACCATCTGACATCTCATTAGGAATATGCCCCCATGTTGTGAGGCATGCATACAAGCACGTGGGATCCATACAAACTACTGAGTACAATTTTGAGTTGCTGCAATGAAATTTCGGCAAAATGGACTAGCCTGCTGCATCAATTTTTTCACTTTGATTTTCATCTTTAAATTTAACCCCCTGTAGGTTGTGGCATCCTTTCCTTCCTAACACATTACACAGTCCATATCAGTACAGATATCCAGCATAATTTTTTTTTCCATTGAGATCTGATGTGTTTTCCATGTATTCTGTTAATCTTTTGAGCAGTGTTTGTTTCTAATGGGGTGATTGACATGAAATTTATACCGGATGTTGGTAACAACCCAAGTAATCCATATATACAAAGAAGTCCAAACAAATAAGTCCATAAATTATGTGTAATAAAGTGAAATGACACAGGGAATAAGTATTGAACATGCTTACTGAAATTTATTTAATACTTGGTATACCCTTTGTTGGTAATGACAGCTTCAAGATGCCTCCTCTATGGAAACTAGCTGCATGCATTGCTCAGGTGTGATTTTGGCCCATTCTTCCACACAAACTGTCTTAAAATCTTGAAGGTTCCAAGAACCTCTCCTATGAACAGTTCTTTCTTTTCAATTGGATTCAAGTGGGGTGATTGACTGGGCCATTCTAGTAGCTATATTTTCTTTTCTCTGAAACCAATTGAGAGTTTCCTTCGCTGTGTGTTTGGCATCATTGTCTTGCTGAAATGTCTTTGTATCTGTGGATTACTTGGGTTGTTTCCGACATCTGGTATAAATTTCATTTCAATAGCTCCATTAGAAAAGTATTAGCTGAGACAAATGTTGACACGTTCAATACTCATTTTCCAAACTGTATATGTTGCTTGCAAGGAAACAATCTGACTATTAACCTGAGTATCAGCAGCTGACATTTTGGATCCTCCAGTACAGCAGAGAGCTGTATCACTCCTAAGTCTCCTGTGTTATTGTCACTCAGATCCAGCTCTCTCAGGTGTGAGGGGTTTGACCTCAGGGATGAAGCCAGGGAAGCACAGCCTGTATCTGTGACTCTACAGCCTGACAGCCTGTAAAGAGAAGGAGAGAAACTCTTCACTCTCTCAGCTCTGGACACACATTCAGTTCAATGAGGAAAATATCTGCAATGCAAAATGTCTATTGTTAAATAGCTAGTTTACTATTAATAATCAAACATTCAACTCATTTAAACAATTGTTGCAAATAATGTATATAATAATTTGACGTTGTTTAAATGTTTATACAAATTTTCCTGCAAGGAAACTGACTGCAAACCTGAGTTTCTGCAGCTGACATTTAGGATCCTCCAGTACAGCGGAGAGCTGTATCACTCCTGAGTCTCCTGTGTTATTTTGGCTCAGAATCAGCTCTCTCAGGTGTGAGGGGTTTGACCTCAGAGCTGAAGCCAGAGAAGCACAGCCTGTATCTGTGACACCACAGTCTGACAACCTGTAAAGAGAAGGAGAGAAACTCTTCACTCTCTCAGCTCTGGACCCATAAATCAGTTCATTAAGGAAACACCATCATGACAGCACCTCTCTGGGATCTACACACACGTGCCACTCTGACTGACAGACAGGTGTCTGTGTGTCTCTGCCTGCTACAGCCTGAGTGACGCTTCTGTCCTTCTTTTGTCTTTCTGTTTGTTTGGTTTGATTTCCCCCCTCCTGTTGTTCCCTTTTAGAGACCACCCACTGCCATACACCCCCCTCTTATTCTCAGGCACAGTGCTAATTTCGTCAGTGAAAATTTTAACGATGAGTATTCGTTGACAACCTTTTATTTCATGACTAAATTATACCAACAACAACCTAGATCACAGTAGCCATCTCAAGCATTAGTTGTTATCCTTTTTAACCAATCATTTACATGCAGAAATCTGCAAGTACCAATTCTCACTATCGCCATGCATCTTTCTCATTGGATGATTTGCTTTTCCCGCTTGGTGCATGTTTGAGCATAATGCCACCTTCCAGTATAAATAATGCTAACTTCACACTAAATGATATTAGCCCCGATTTTCCACGCATCAACAGATTTTGGAAATTGCTGAAAAACCCCCAGGCCTGAGGCAAATCGGTTCACGATCGGTTCTTAACACGACCCAACGGAGTTGTCAATGTGTCGCAGACGCCCATCAAATATCTAGAAGGCTAAATATTGGGACCAGTCAACAATGCCAAATCCTGAACATGTGAAAGGTGCTGAGACTGACTATGAGTGCGGCGACGAACCACAACCAATGAAAGCGCAAGACACAGTGTAAGGCAAATTGCAAGGGATTTAGAAAGGTGTAAAAAGTTCAGTTTGTTTATGAACTGTTCTTATTGTTCAGGGAAACACTCTCTTTCTCTCTCTCATTCACACACACACACACACACACACACACACACACTCACACACGTGCAAGGGTAATCTTGGAGAGAAGCATCTTTCTGAAATATATACTATCCAAAGATCTGAATTATTATTTCTTATTCAATTTGTTATACAGTACATGTTGCTTGCAAGGAAACAGTCTGACTACTAACCTGAGTTTCTGCAGTTGACATTTAGGATCCTTCAGTACATCACAGAGCTGAATCACTGTTGAGTCTCCTGTGTTATTGTAGCTCAGGTCCAGCTCTCTCAGGTGTGAAGGGTTTGACCTCAGAGCTGAAGCCAGAGAAGCACAGCCTGTATCTGTGACTCTACAGCCTGACAACCTGTAAAGAGAAGGAGAGAAACTCTTCACTCTCTCAGCTCTGGACCCATAAATCAGTTCATTAAGGAAACACCGTCATGACAGCACCTCTCTGGGATCTACACACACGTGTGACTCTGAGTGATGGACAGGTGTCTGTGTGTCTCTGCCTGCTACAGCCTGAGTGACGCTTCTGTCCTTCTTTTGTGTTTCTGTTTGGTTCAGTTTCCCCCCTCCTGTTGTTCCCTTTTAGAGACCACCCACTGCCATTCACCCCCCTCTTACTCTCAGACCCCCCTGACATGGTGAGGACTCCGCCAGCCGTCTCTCACAGTCCCTCCCAGTTACTCCCGTCTCCCGACTTCAGCTGCACTGTTATTCAGTAAATACAGCCTCTGCAGTGCTGATGCTCGTACACCCACTGCTGCCTGGTTTATAGCTCAACCTCAGAACAGCATTTATAGTAAAATGTAATTACATTTGAATAAATTCCCAATTACATCTCCAATTAACTAATGCATTATTAATAATAACAGCTGTGAATAATTATTTCTTATTCATTTTTTTTTTTAAATTGTGACTCCTAACCTGAGTTTCTGCAACTGACATTTAGGATCCTTCAGTATAGCAGAGAGATGTATCACTCCTGAGTCTCCTGTGTCATTATCACTCAGATCCAGCTCTCTCAGGTGTGAGGGGTTTGACGTCAGTGCTGAAGCCAGAGAAGCACAGCCTGTATCTGTGAATCTACAAAATGACAACCTGTAAAGAGAAGGAGAGAAACTCTTCAGTCTCTCAGCTCTGGACAAACAGCTCAGTTCAGAATATTATTATTAAGAATAACCTCTCCTGGAGCCGACACCTTATCGTGGTGGAGGGGTTTGCATGTTCCAATGATCACAAGAGCTAAGTTGCCCGGGGCTTTATGCCCCTGGTAGGGTCACCCAAGGCAAACAGGTCCTGGGTGAGGAACCAGACGAAGTGCAGCTCACAAGACCCCTTATGATGAATACAAACATAGATCCACGTTTTCCCTCGCCCGGACGCGGGTCACCGGGACCCCCCCTGGAGCTAGGCCTGGGGGTGGGGTTCAATGGTGAGCACCTGGTGGCCAAGTCTGCACCCATGGGGCCTGGTTGGGCACAGCCCGAAGGAAGCACGTGGGTCCCCCCTCCAATGGGCACACCACCTGTAGGAGGGGCCAAAGGGGTCGGGTGCAGTGTGAGTTGGGCAGCGGCTAAAGGCGGGGACCTTGGCGGTCCGATCCTCGGCTGCAGAAGCTAGCTCTAGGGACATGGTATGTCACCTCTCTGGTGGGGAAGGAGCCTGAGCTGGTGCGCGAGGCTGTGAGGGCTCACCTCGACGCACGGCTTGGGCTCTGGAACCAGTCTCCTCGAAGGGGGTTGGACCCTCTTCCACTCTGGAGTTGCTCACGGGGAGAGGCGCCGAGCTGGAGTGGGCATACTTATTGCCCCTTGGCTGGGCGCCTGTACATTGGTGTTTACCGCGGTGGACGAGAGGGTAGCCTACCTTCACCTTCGGGTGGAGGGACGGGTCCTGACTGTTGTTTGCGCTTATGCGCCAAACGGCAGTTCAGAATACCCACCCTTTTTGGAGTCCTTGGAAGGGGTGTCGGAGAGCGCTCCTCCTGGGGACTCTATTGTTCTGCTGGGGGACTTCAATGCTCATGTGGGCAATGACAGTGAGACCTGGAGGGGCGTGATTGGGAGGAACGGCCCCCCTGATCTGAACCCGAGTGGTCTTTTGTTATTGGACTTCTGTGCTCGTCACAGATTGTCCATAATGAACACCATGTTCAAGCATAAGGGTGTTCATATGTGCACTTAGTACCAGGACACCCTAGGCCGCAGTTCGATGATCGACTTTGTGGTTGTGTTGTCAGAATTGCGGCCGCATGTATTGGACACTTGGGTGCGAAGAGGGGTGGTGCTGTCAACCGATCACCACCTGGTAGTGGGTTGGCTCCGCTGGTGGGGGAGGAAGCCGGTCAGACCTGGCAGACCCAAGCGTATAGTGCGGGTTTGCTGGGAACGTCTGGCGGAATCCCCTGTCAGAAGGAGCTTCAACTCCTACCTCCGGCAGAACTTCTCCCATGTCCCGGGGGAGGCGGGGGACATTGAGTCCGAATGGGCCATGTTCCGCACCTCCATTATGGAGGTGGCTGACCGGAGCTGTGGCCGTAAGGTGGTCGGTGCCTGTCGCGGCAGCGGTGAGGAATGCCGTCAAGCTGAAGAAGGAGTCCTATCGGGCCTTTTTGGCCTGTGGGACTCCGGAGGCAGCTGATGAGTACCAGCGGGCCAAGCGGAATGCGGTTTCGGCGGTCGCAGAGGCAAAAACTCTGGTATGGGAGGAGTTTGGCGAGGCCATGGAGAACAACTTCCAGATGGCTTCAAGGAGATTCTGGTCCACCATCCGGCATCTCAGGGCAGGAAAGCGGTGCAGCATCAACACTGTTTATGGTGCGGATGGGGCGCTGCTGACCTCAGCTCGGGATGTTGTGGGTTAGTGGAAGGAATACTTCGAAGACCTCCTCAATCCCACCGACACACCTTCCAATGAGGAAGCAGAGCCTGGGGACTTTGGGGTGGACTCCCCTATCTCTGGGGCGGAGGTCGCTGAGGTGGTTAAAAAGCTCCTTGGTGGCCGAGCCCCAGGGGTGGATGAGATCCGCCCGGAGTTACTCAAGGCTCTGGATGTTGCAGGGCTGTCTTGGTTGACACGCATCTGTGGCATCACGTGGACAATCAGGGGCGGTGCCTCTGGATTGGAAGACTGGGGTGGTGGTCCCCCTGTTCAAGAAGGGGGACCAGAGGATGTGTTCCAACTATAGGGGGATCACACTCCTCAGCCTCCCTGATAAGGTCTATTTGGGGGTGCTGGAGAGGAGGGTCCGTTGGATAGTCGAACCTCAGATTCAGGCGGAGCAGTGTGGTTTTCGCCCTGGCCGTGGAACAGTGGACCAGCTCTATACTCTTGGCAGGGTCCTGGAGGGTGCATGGGAGTTTGCCCAACCAGTCTACATGAGCTTTGTCGACTTGGAGAAGGCATTCGTCCCTCGGGGAGTCCTGTGGGGAGTGCTCCGGGAGTACGGGATGCCAGGCTGCCTTATAAGGGCTGTTCGGTCCCTGTACAATCGGTGTCAGAGCTTGGTCCGCATTGTCGGCAGTAAGTCGGGCTCGTTTTCGGTGAGGGTTGGACTCCGCCAGGGCTGCCCTTTGTCACCAATTCTGTTCATAACTTTTATGAAATTTCTAGGCGCAGCCAGGGCGTTGAGGGTGTCCGGTTTGGTGACCTCAGGATTAGGTCTCTGCTTTTGGCCTCATCAGACCATGACCTTCGGCCCTCACTGGAGCTGTTCGCAGCCCAGTGTGTAGCAGCTGGGATGAAGATCAGCACCTCCAAATCCGAGACTATGGTCCTCACCCGGAAAAAGGTGGAGTGCTCCGGGTCAGGGAGGGGATCCTTCCTCAAGTGGAGTAGTTTAAGTATCTCGGGGTCTTGTTCACAAGTGAGGGAAGGATGGAGTGGGAGATCGACAGGCGGATCGGTGTGGTGCCAGCAGTGATGCGGGCGCTGCATCGGTCTGTCATGGTGAAGAAGGAGCTGAGCCAAAAGGCAAAGCTCTCGATTTACCAGTCGATCTACGTTCCTACCCTCACCTATGGTCATGAGCTGTGGGTAGTGACCGAAAGAACGAGGTCACGGATACAAGCGTCTGAAATGGGTTTCCTCTGCAGGGTGGCTGGGCTCTCCCTTAGAGAGGGTGAGGAGCTCGGTCATTCGGCAGAGACTAGAAGAGTTTAGAGTAGAGCCGCTGCTCCTCTGCATGGAGAGGAGCCAGATGATGTGGCTCAGGCATCAGGTCAGGATGCCAACTGGACGCCTCCCTGGTGAGGTGTTGCAGGCATGCCCCACTGGGAGGAGGCCCCGGGAAAGATCCAGGACATGCTGGAGAGACTATGTCTCCTGGCTGGCCTGGGAATGCCTTGGAATTCCCCAAGTGGAGCTGGATGAAGTGGCCGGGGAGAGGGAAGTCTGGATTTCCTTGCTTAGACTGCTGCCCCCGCGACTCGACCCGGAAAAGTGGTAGATAATGGATGGACGGACTATTAATAATGAAACAGTTATCTCATTTAACTGATAATTGCAATGAATATATAGAATAATTTCATGCTGATTATTAGGGAATTAACAGAAAAGCCGATTTGTCGAGGCGTCAGCGTCAGAAGCACAAGTCGATGACCTCTGAGAGAAGTCGACAAGTCGTGTTTTTATCCTCTCTGTGTGCGCGCTTGTGTACGCAATGCAATCTCTGCCTCTGATTGGCTAAAGCTGACATGCATTCCTTGACTTAACCAATTATTATAGTTACTTCATAAAAATGGCGGTAACGGCGCGTGGAGGGGAGTTTAAACAAGACCACAACAAGACGAGAGACATAGCAGCAGAGACAGTAGGTGACAGACACGTATCACATGTATGGAAAATACTTCACTCTAGACTACACAAATAGCACGGTGACCTGCACAATCTGCAAGTCAGTGTTGAAGTACAATAAAAGTACCACCGTTATGCACACTATGAGGAATATGAGGGCGACTCAGAATATAATTACTTCGCTTTGAAATAAGAATATTACAGAAGGAATATCACCTGATTTATTTATTTACCTGTTGGTGAGTTTCAAATTTTATTTAATTCTTAATGCAAGCTGACGTTGTTTTCTTAGTGTGTTTTGCTATTGTGAACGCTTGAATTTTCATTTATTTTATAAAGAAAATGGTTTATGTTTTGTGAAGCATGCAAGCCACTGTGTTTTTATTCTTCTGTTAATGTGTTACAGTAAAATCCCGTTATAGTGGACTCGCTTATAATAGAATATCGTCTATAACGGATGAGGTCCGCTGGTCCCGGCTGTGCGGCTTTCAGAAAAAACATCGGATATAGCGGACTCTCATATAACGGAATTTCGCTTATAACGCACAAACAATTTGGTCCCCAGGGCCGCTTTTAGCTGTAGTTTTGTTTGGCTATAACGGTCATGCAGCTCTGCCTACGAGGCGCCTGGCGTGCCGGTGATATCTAGCGCAGATACGTAGGTAATATATAACAGACTTTGGAAATAACGGACTGTTTTGCCAGGTCCTTTGAAGTCTGCTATAACTGGATTATACTGCATATTTATCTTATAATGGAAATGTGCTCTTTTGTCAACCACAGTGTATGGTGTTGACTCATTTTGTGTGCCTTGGCTGCCGCAGCTTAAACTGTTCCCACTATCTGTTGTGCACTTAAATTTACCAGACAGTTCAAGGTATTAGCCTATGTTTTGTTTTGTTTAATTGTCATGTTGACTGTTAATGTTACAGAGAACCTTAATAAAAGTTGCTCATTGCTGGACACCTGTGTTCCTCAGCTGCATGATGACATCATCAAACGACTTGTTGACTCGACATCGACTTTATTGACGGATAAGCTGATCTGGAAAAATCTGAAGTCATTAATGCCCTACTGATTATACATTGTTACACAAATATTCTTCCAAGGCAACAGTCTGACTACCAACCTGAGTATCTGCAGCTGACATTTAGGATCCTTCAGTACAGCGGAGAGCTGTATCACTCCTGATTCTCCTGTGTTATTGCGGCTCAGATCCAGCTCTCTCAGGTATGAGGGGTTTGACCTCAGAGCTGAAGCCAGGGAAGCACAGCCTGTATCTGTGACTCTACAACCTGACAACCTTTAAAGAGAAGGAGAGAAACTTTTCACTCTCTCAGCTCGGGACACAATCAGATCAGAGGGGAAAGTACAGTGGTATGCAAAAGTTTGGGCACCCCTCAATAAATAACATATTTTGGTAATTTTTTAATTGAAAAGATGTAAACACAGTCTCTGTAGGAAAGACTGTCACCAAACATTGATGCATAGTTACTTTTTATGTCATAAATTGAACAAAGACGAAAAATAAAAACATTATTTTGGCACTCTGCAAAAGTTTGGGCGCCCTACATAATCAGTACTTAGTAACACCTCCTCTGGCAGATATAACAGCTTGCAAATGCTTTTTATAGCCAGCTAAAAGTCTCTCAATTCTCGTACTTGGGATTTTCTCCCATTCTTCCTTACAAAAGGCTTCTAGTTCTGTAATATTCTTTGGTCGTCTTGCATGCACAGCTCTTTAAAGATCTACCCACAAATGTTCAGTGATGTTTAAATCAGGGGACTGTGATGGCCATTCCAAGACCTTCAGCTTGCGTCTCTTGAGGTAATCCTTCTTTTCAATTAAAAAATGACCAAAATATGTTATTTATTGAGGGGTGCCCAAACTTTTGCATATGACTGTATTTATATTTCAAACATTTATATTTAATCAAATAGGTAATTTACTACTAATTATGAAACAGTTCATTTTATGACAGAGTTAGAAAAAATGTAATTATCTCAGTTTAAACATTGTTATACACATTTGCTTGTAAACAGTCTGACTCCTAACCTGAGTATCTGCAGCTGACATTTAGGATCCTTCAGTACAGCAGAGAGCTGTATCACTCCTGAGTCTCCTGTGTCATTACCGCTCAGATCCAGCTCTCTCAGGTGTGAGGGGTTTGACCTCAGAGCTGAAGCCAGAGAAGCACAGCCTGTATCTGTGACTCCACAGTCTGACAACCTGAATAGAGAAGGAGAGAAACTCTTCACTCTCAGCTTTTGAGTCACAGTTCAGTTCAATGAGGAAAATATCTGTATTGCAATACAGTGGTACCTCGGTTCTCGAACTTTATCCGTTCCGGACTCCGGATCGAATCCTAAAAAGTTCGAGTTCTGATCGAATTTTTCCCATAAGAAATAATGGAAAACCAATTAATTGGTTCCCGGCCCCCCAAAATTACACCTGAATATGTTTTTTTAAGCATTTAAACACAAAATGAACAGGATAAAACAAGAAGAGCATTTTTTTCTTAATGGCTTCCAAAACGATAAAGATCTTATCCCAACATTGCCCCTGTCCAGCCTCGATCGTACGCTCCTTCCGTGTGCCACGCCCCCTCGTTAACCTCGTGTGGGATCCCCATGTGATCAGCTCTTTCTGGTTGTTGTCATTAGTCCTCTGTATTAAGTCCGCATTTCAGTTTGTTTCCCCAGTCCGGTCATTGGGTGCGTTGGACTTGCTTACAGCGCTGGCTTAAAGCAACGCATTCTGATCATGACGCAATGCATTACGGTTAGATGCATTGCGACCTCTCACCCGGCTGCACAAACTGGAACCGCCTCCATGATGACACACCTTTGCCCTTATTGGCTGAAGAGTTTGGTTACACGCATGAAGTTTGTATCCCAGACAGTTCCGATGCGTAATCTGCTGTTTCTCCCGAATATCACGTAAAGCAGTGAGAACTGGTTTTCAGTTAATTTACCTGGTAAAACAAAGTTTAAATAAATGACATAAATGCTCTAATAGTACACGTAAGTTAGTGGTTTATTTATTGTTAGTTACTGTAATGTTGCGCTGCTTTATTTGGTTAATCATCCAGTCTGTGAAGAAGAGATTCAAGTAAGAATTGCATTGTAGTATGACTCATTTCCTGGCGCGTACAATTTATATTAGGTCAGCGTTCACAGTTCGACTTATGATATTCAGATCGAGTTCTAGGTTTGTTCGACTTTCAAGAAATTCGAGTTCTAGTGAGTTTAAGAACCGAGGTACCACTGTATATTTATTGTTAAATAGCTAGTTTACTATTAGTAGTGAAACATTTAAGTCATTTAACAGATAGTTGCAATGAATATATAGAATAATTTCATGCTGTTTGAACATTGTTATACAAATATCCTTACAAGGAAAGAGTCTACTAACCTGAGTTTCTGCAGCTGACATTTAGGATCCTCCAGGACAGCAGAGAGCTGTATCACTCCTGAGTCTCCTGTGTTATTGTCGCTCAGATCCAGCTCTGTCAGGTGTGAGGGGTTTGACCTCAGAGCTAAAGCCAGAGAATCACAGCCTGTATCTGTGACTCCACAGTCTGAGAAACTGTAAAGAGAAGGAGAGAAACTCTTCACTCTCTCAGCTCTGGACACACAGCTCAGTTCAGTGAGGAAAATATCTGCATTGCAATATGTTTATTGTTAAATAGCTAGTTTACTATTAATAATCAAACATTCAACTTACTTAACAGATTGTTGCAACAAAGGTATATAATAATTCCATGCTGTTTAAATATTCATACAAATTTTCTTGCAAGGAAACAGTTTGACTCCTAACCTGAGTATCTGCAGCTGACATTCAGGATCCTCCAGTACAGCAGAGAGCTGTATCACTCCTGAGTCTCCTGTGTTATTCTTGCTCAGATCCAGCTCTCTCAGGTGTGAGGGGTTTAAACTCAGTGCTGAAGCCAGAGAAGCACAGCCTGTATCTGTGATGTTACAGTGTGACAACCTGTAAAGAGAAGGAGAGAAATTCTTCACTCTCTCAGCTCTGTTCAATGAGGAAAATATCTGCATTCCAATATATTTATTGTAAAATAGCTAATTTACTATTAGTAATGTAATGGATATGTAATTTAACAGATAGGTGCAATTAATGTGTAGAATATTTTCATGCTGTTTAAAATTGCTATACAAATTTTCTTGCAAGGAAACTGTCTGACTGCAAACCTGAGTTTCTGCAGCTGACATTTAGGATCCTTCAGTACACCACAGAGCTGAATCACTGTTGAGTCTCCTGTGTTATTGTAGCTCAGAACCAGCTCTCTCAGGTGTGAGGAGTTTGACCACAGAGCTGAAGCCAGAAAAGCACAGCCTTTATCTGTGACTCTACAGCCTGACAACCTGTAAAGAGAAGGAGAGAAACTCTTCACTCTCTCAGCTCTGGACCCATAAATCAGTTCATTAAGGAAACACCGTCATGACAGCACCTCTCTGGGATCTACATACACGTGTCACTCTGACTGATGGTGTGATGACTAAGAGTGATGACTTTATTACATTTTTTAATGGTAAAATAACTAAGATTAGACAGACCATCCAGTGCACGTCCTTAGCTACCTACGGCTGCCAGCCTCCTGCTAGTCTTATGCCTATCAATAATGAGACCTTTGAATCCTTCATTCCTATAAAACATTCAGAACTCTTGAGCTTAATTTCTTCCTGTAAATCCTCTACTAGCCTCGTAGACCCAATTCCTACAAAACCTTTCAAGGAAATTGCACCACAGATTAGTAGTACCCTGTTAAATGTGTTAAACTCATCTCTTAGGCTTGGATATGTTCCAAAACCTTTTAGAATGGCTGTTATTAGACCCGTCCTAAAGAAACCAAATCTTGAACCTAGTGTTTTAGGAAACTACTGTATAGACCTATTCCAAATCTTCCTTTCATTTCAAAGATCATGGAAAAGGTTGTAGTTCGTCAGTTGTCTTCTTTCCTACAAAAAAATTATACTAATGAATTATATCAGTCTGGCTTTACACCAAACCATAGCACAGAAATTGCTCTATTCAAAGTAATGAATGATTTATTTATGGCTTCTGACCGTGGCTGTATATCTCTGTTGGTATTACTAGATTTAACTGCAGCATTCGATACTGTGGACCATAATATCCTCTTAGACCAGTTAGAAGGTGTAGTTGGCATTACGGGGACAGGACTCTCTTGGTTCCGCTCATATTTAACTGATCGCTATCAGTATGCCCATGTGAACAACGAATCATCCAAGGCCACCAAAGTCACATACTGTATGGTGTACCACAGGGATCAGTACTGGGCCCACTACTGTTTACCCTATACATGGTACCTCTTGGTAACATTATTAGAAATCATGGTGTTGGGTTTCATTGTTATGCAGATGATACACAGTTGTATATATCTGTTAACCCTTATGATACATCACTCCTATCTCGGTTAGAAGACTGTCTGTTAGATATCCAGTGCTGGATGGCAAAAAATTTCCTAATGTTAAACACAGAAAAAACAGAAGTACTGATAACTGGTCCCAAGGCTGCAAGAAATAAGTTTCACCACCTCAGCATTAGTGGCCTTCCTACACAACCTAACACGGTGGTTAGAAATCTTAGTCTTCTAGTTGATTCAGATCTATGTTTTGATGCTTACATAAGAAGTATTACTAGAACTGTGTTTTATCATCTACAGAACATAGCCAAGCTTTGTAAGATGCTCTCACTTTGTGATGCAGAAAAATTAATACATGCCTTTGTAACTTCCAGACTGGACTACTGTAATGCCCTCCTTTCTGGTTGCCCATCTGGATCCTTACATAAACTTCAGCTGGTACAGAATGCAGCAGCCAGAGTTCTCACAAACACTAAAAAATTTGATCACATTACACAAGTCTTATCCTCCCTTCATTGGTTACCAGTTAAGTCTCAGATTGACTATAAAATACTGCTATTAACCTATAAAGCACTGAATGGCCTTGCACCAGAATACCATAGTGATCTGCTGACCTCATACAACCCTCCACGCTTGCTTCGTTCTCAAGGTGCATGATATCTGTTAGTACCTAGGGTAGAAAGAGCTACGGCAGGCTGCAGAGCTTTCTCCTATAGAGCTCCTCAGCTGTGGAATGGTGTTCCCCTGGATGTGCGGGTTTCAGGCTCACTCTCAATATTCAAGTCTAGACTAAAAACACACCTGTTTAGTTTAGCTTATAGGGACACTAGTTCTAGCTCTAGCTAATTCCTCACTCCCTGTTAGACCTATAGTGTGAGGTGTAGAGCTGGGTGGGGATCGGTGCCATTGGCTTTGGATAATCTGAATTGACAATGCTGTCACTCTAGCTTCACAATCGCTTGTGGGATTGGAGTGCTGACATTTCAGGGACTCCCCATGCCTGCATTCCCACCTGCCTCTCCCTCCTACTTATGCTGCCATAAACATATCTGCCGGAGCTTGCACATTGCACTTCATATTGCACTCATCTAACTGTTAGCACTGCCTATAGTCTCCCCTACTTTGACTAATTGCATATTTTATTTCCCCTACTCCTCCTGGGGGGTGCTGCCTGGAGACCTCAATCTATCAAGATGCACCCTGCAACATGTGACGTCGCCACTACCAATGACGTCCGTGCAACCAGCTCGCCGTTCTGCCTGTGTCACCTTCCATGTATGACCCGCTGCCTGCCTTCTGGTTGCCTGGCGATTGGTGAAAGCGTTGGCACCGGCTTGTGATCTCCCACCTGCTCCCCGTTTGTATCTCAAATTTTATTGTTTAGACAGTATGACATGGCACTTAGCCATCTCTCCAATTTGACTCTCCCTGTCGGCCCCTGGAGGATGGGCTCCCCCTTTGAGTCTGGTCCCTCCCAAGGTTTCTTCCTTCTCGGAAGTTTTTCCTTGCCACTGTCGCCTATGGCTTACTCACTGGGGGCTTTGGGTGGGGATGCTGTAAAGCGCTTTGAGACGATGTAATGTTGTGAAAATGCGCTATACAAAAATAAATTTGTTTGTTTGTTTGTTTGTGTCTGTGTGTCTCTGCCTGCTACAGCCTGAGCAACGCTTCTTTCCTTCTTTTGTCTTTATGTTTGTTTGGTTTGGTTTCCCCCCTCCTGTTGTTCCATTTTAGAGACCACCCGCTGCAATTCACCCCCACCACCCAGGATTTATAATAAAATATATTTATATATAAACAAATTACCAATTTCCAGTTGAAGCTACAATTAATTTATCTATTTTTTTTACATATACTACTCAAAGATGGGAATAATTATTTCTTATTCAATTTGTTATACATGTTGCTTGCAAGGAAACAATCTGACTATTAACCTGAGTCTCTCCAGTTGACATGTAGGATCCTTCAGTAAAGTAGAGATCTGTCTCACTCCTGAGTCTCCTGTGTTATTGTTGCTCAGATCCAGCTCTCTCAGGTGTGAGGGGTTTGATCTCAGAGCTGAGGCCAGAGAAGCACAACCTGTATCTGTGACTCTACAGCCTGACAGCCTGTAAAGAGAAGGAGAGAAACTCATCACTCTCTTACGTATGAACACACAGTTCAGTTCAGTGCAATATATTTTTCGTTAAATAGCTGATTTACTATTAATAATCCATTCATTGTCTGAAACCACTGAATCCCAACTAGGATCGCAGGGGGACCGGAGCCTATCCCGGGAACAATGGGCACAGGCGGGAACCAACCCTTGGCAGTTGCCAACACACACACTCACAGGGCCAATTTCAACACACCAATCAACCCATCCTGCATGCTTTTGGACCGTTGAAGGAAATCAGAGCCCCTCTCGAAAACCCATGCAAACACAGGGAGAGCGGGCAAACTCCACACAGAAAGGACCTTGGACCGAACCCAGGACCTTCTTGCTGTGAGCCAGCAGTGCTAACCACTGCGCCGCCCCACTGATGATGATGTTATACAAAAAACAATTTCCCCACGGGGATCAATAAAGTATCAATTATTATTATTATTAATTATTATACAAATTTTCTTTTGATTGCTGACAATATGGATAAACTCACCTGAGTAACCTGATATTACATTGTGGATTCACCAGCCCAGCAGAGAGCAGGTTAACCCCTGAATCCATAAGGTCATTGTGACTCAGATCCAGCTCCCTCAGACATGATGAATTTGAGCTGACAGCTGAAGACAAGATTTTACAGCTGTTCTCAGTGAGGTTACAGCTGTTCAACCTGAAAAGGAAAGCATGTTAAATTATACATCTCCACACACCCCTGACATTACACATCCTACAAATCTCTCTTTTCAGGCACCTTAGGGTGACTAAAATTCCTATATTGCTCTGTATTTTGTATTACATTGCATTGTCATTGAATTCCATTGACTTTGACATTGGCATTCGATTTTGTCCCTTATTTGCACTGTTGTTGGTCCTATTGTCCCCCTGACACTGAAACTGAATGCAGCTCAGGCCATGATACATGATACAATGCTGCTTACATTAACAGATCTCTATGTTGGGAGGATTTCCACTTAAAGTCAGTTTTGTATAATATGTGCACTGTTCACTTACTGTTGTAATATAAAGATAAATAACAATCCTAAACATCCACAGAAACTTTGTATTTTTTTCAGCTTTCAAAACCCAAAAAACTTGTATATTTTTCTGTTGCACACTGCAAAGAACTGTTTGTAATGTTCCAGTTTTGGAGAAGAAGTATTTTTTATTTATTAATATAATAGCTTACTAACATTAATAAGATAAATTATCATATTTTTTATGCAATTCCTGAAGATGAAAGATGATAACTAGGGCTGTAAATTTTTAGCGGCGAAAACTTAAAAAAATCGCGGATCAATCGCGGCAAATAATGCAGAATTCACGGCGTCGTATATTACCTAGTTTATTACTTGATATAAATCTAAAATAGAGCCGAAGTCGATTGTCTGCGGGCAATACACACATATTTTTTCATGACATAAGTGTTACAAACTACAACTAAAAACAGTTGCTGAATAAAACATAGTCAGATACACTAAAGGTCTAAACATTTACAGTTTTCCAGAATTCTGGTACAGCATGTTGTACATCGCTAAGTTTTCGCCCATAATGCTACGTCTGTCGTCTCTCAACACATCAGAGTACAGGCTGAAAGATCGCTCAGCAGCAACGCTGTTACATGGCACACTCAAACATATCAATGCAATGTCTGACAGTCTTGGAAACTGTTGTGTTGCTGCAAACCAAAAGTCTGCTGGATGAAGAGTTGCTCTCAGATCACCAACACTTGACAGGTATGTACGCAGTTCAGTTTTTGCTTGTATGTCATCCTCAAACCACGGAATGTTCTGACAAACAAACTAGTGATTTTAATTACGGCCAAATTACACGGCAAACGACAATCATTCACTACATTAAGGACAGTGGCTCCCTTTATATACTGAGCCCATAAGTTCTAGAAATTCTGCAGTTACCTTGATTAGCGCCCTATTTCCACAGTTACTGATCTGGGATAGAACTTCCAGAATATGCTAATGACTATATACACACGACGTACAACGCACGAGAATGCACAGTTTAATGTCAATCAACAGGTCGTAAATTTCCGTCGCGACTCAGGCAGTCGGCTCGCTACAGCGTTTGCGCACTAGATGACCGCCTTCGCACGGCCTAGCATTGGCAAGAATCGCGGTGATTCGCGGCATGATTAAAAAATTCGCGGCGGATGCGCAAATTCGTGAAATTCGCGACTGCCGCGAAAAATTTACAGCGCTAATGATAAAATTCAGTTATACTCTACAGGTATTATAAAGACAGTGTAACGCCACAAGTGACCCAGGACTCACAGTGCTGTTCTGGATGCCTTGACCACAGGCAGCAGCCTCAGAAGACCTTCATCTGATCTGATGTATTTTTTCAGGTCAAACACATCCAGCTCCCCTTCTGAAGTCAGCAGCACAAAGACCAGAGCTGACCACTGTGCAGGTGAGAGGCTTTCTGTCGAAAGTCTTCCTGACCTCAGGTAATTTTGGACTTCCTCCACTATAGAGGTGTCATTTAGTTCATTCAGACAGTGAAACAGATTTATTGTCCTTTCTGAGGAGAGATTCTCCCTAATCTTCTCCTTGATGTAGCTGGCCGTTGTTTGTGTGTCATGGGATCTAATTTCTGATTGTGACAGAATGCCCTGTAAAAGAGTCTGACAAGAATCCATTGACAGACCAAGCAGGAAGCGGAGGTAGAGATCTAAGTGTCCAGTCTTACTCTGTAAAGCTTCATCCACTGCCTTCTTTAGAAGATCAGTGAAGGTGCTTTTTTGGAGTGAAGTTAATGTGGAGAAGTTGAATTTCTGGTTTACATGTTTTAAAAACACATACAAAGCAGCCAGGTACTCCTGAATACTCAAATGTACAAAGCAGTAAATCTTCTGCTGGTACAATCCAGTCTCCTCTATAAACATTTCTGTGCACAATCCAGAGAAGACTGAAGCTTCACTCACATCAATGCCACTTGTT